GAAGTCTGGCTGTTTCCCCCATATCCTGCTGCAGAATTGCTCTGGAATCTAATGTCCAAGGAGTTCATTCACAGAGTTCTGTCTAGGTAGGCGAGACCACTGACTACAGAGGATATTACTGATTCAATGCTGTTCTGCACTGGGGAAAATGCAGTGCACTTACAGCTTTGACTTATGTCTGCCTTACATGAGCAATTAGAAGTGAACAGAAGAGTCCAAACGATCTAAGGAAGTGTGTGCGAACAGCTCCTTTAGTGCTTTCATGTCAGATGGCAGCATCAGCCAGTGAGAGACATACTTCATTTGAGTGCATTACCAAAGGTTCCCCCCCCCCCCCATTCAGCCTGAGAAAATTGCACGCCTGAGAGAACAGAATAATGTGTGTCCCTTAGAATTCAGCACTGAAGCTCCTAAGATTATTCAGCTTCCTCCAAACTTAACAAGGAGGAGAGGGGGAACTGTCTGAGGCAACATCCCGCTACTCTCCAAGGTGGCATTCATGGTTCTCGGCTCCTCCATTATATCATCACAACAACTCTGTAAAGTTAAGTTAGGCACAAAAAGACAGAGATTGGCTGAGTGGGAATTTGGAACTAGGGCTCGCTAGTCAAACTAGGACACTCTTAACTGTTACACCACACTGTCTCTCTCGCTATCTTAACTTCAGTGTCTTATGTGCATGGGCAAATTAATGCTATGTTACCTTCTGGGCATATAAGAGCTGATTGTATGTAGCTAGAGTTGCTCCTTCATCTGCACAGGCTTTATTTGCTTCATCAAAAGTCAGTTTGTACTGTCCCTGGGGAGAACGCAGGTGAAAAACTCCAGCCGTTGCATCTAGGAGAAAGAATGGGGTAGAAAAGGTTAGGGCATCTGCCTCTGACAAAAACAGATCACTTTTAAAGAAATGATGCAGTGGCCAGACAAGGAAACCAGATGCCATTCTATGACGTTCTTTTCAACACTCATCTTGCTGAGCACCCTGGAAATATTATTTTTTTAAAAAATTCCCTGTTTTTGACATATCAAAAATTCTGCACATCTGCAGACTCAGATTCATCTGAAACATCTAGAAGAAGTCCAGGAGAAGAATATAACAGCATTGAAGGAACTGGTTACTACAGAAATAACTTCAATCAAGCAAGAAATGGAAGGAGTTAAGAAGGATGTTCAAGCAAATGCAACCAAGACTACAGAGACAGAGGAGAAGATACAAAAAATAGAAGAGAAACAAGATTCTTTGACTCAACAAATTACAAGATCAGAGACAATGATGGAGTTCAGAAGGATGCAGACTCATCTGAGATTCAGAGGCATTAAGGAAACAGAGAATGAGAATTTAAAAGAAAAAATGATGGAAGTGATAACGGCTTTTTTGGGCGAGGAAGAAGGGTCAATGGACTCAGACTTTGATTTGATTTATAGAGTGAACTCCAGAATTGCAGAAAAGAAGAATTTACCAAGGGATGTAATTGTACAATTTGTAACAAGATCAATAACAGAGGAGATATTCAAGAAGCAATTCAACGTCCCTTTTGTAATAGAGGGAAACAAAATTATGGTGATGAGAGAACTCCCAAGAACAATACTGCAAGACAGGAAAAGGTATAAATCCTTGGCTGACAAACTCAGAGCTTTGAGCATCAGATATAGATGGGAGATTCCACAAGGTTTATCCTTTACGTATCAAGGGGTGAGGATTCAGATCAGATCGATGATGGACTTTTATAAATTTAAGGCGGACAATGCGGACGTCTTTGGAGAACTTTAAAATAAAACGCATAATGGAGTACAAATTGTTGTCATGGAATGTTAATGGATTAAATTCACCAAACAAGAGGAAAAGAATCAATCATTGGATACAGAAACAGAAATGCAACGTGATATGCTTGCAAGAAACACATATTAGAAAACAGGATATAAAATATTTAAAGAATGCTTTATTTGGAATTGAATTTTGTTCTGCGGCCTCAAACAAGAAAAAAGGAGTTGTGACATATGTGAAGAAGGAGTTACAACCTACAGAAATTTTTAAGGACATAGATGGCAGATACGTGGGTGTGGAATTAATGATTCAGCAGAAAAAAACATTGTTGATCAACGTGTACGCACCCAATGGAGCAAAGGAAAAATTTTTTAAGGATATAACTGACCAATTACAACAATTGACTTATGAGCAAGTTATTATGGCCGGAGACTTTAATGGGACAATAGATCGTCTAGACAGAAAACCACAAAAGGACAACGAATTCAGCGGAAAATTGCCAAAGAATTTTTTTGAATTAGTTAAGCAAGAAAAATTAGAAGATGTTTGGAGGAAATGGAACCCGATGCAGAAAGACTTTACTTTTTATTCCAATAGACATTGCTCTTTTTCCAGAATTGATATGATTTGGATGTCTGAAGAATTATCAATGAAAACACATAAGACTGAAATTTTGCCAAGATGTAATTCAGATCACAATCCGGTGGTATGGAGTTCCACAGAAAGGAAAAAACCCTTTCTGTGGAGGATTAATGAAGACTTGTTGGATAAGAAAACGGTAATTGAGATGTTAAAGGAAGAAACGAAACAATTCTTTCAACAAAATTTAAATAAAGAAACACCGATACAGATTGTATGGGATGCTTATAAAGCGGTGATGAGAGGAATTCTCATCTCGCAAAACGTGAAGCAAAAAAAGGAAAAACTTCAAAAACAAACAGAAGTGTTAGAAAAAATTGCTCAGAAAGAAAAGGAATTAAAAAAGAAGCCTGGAAAAAAGCAAATTATTAAAGAATTAAAGTTGCTGAAGGAACAACTGAATGAGACTTGGAATCAGGAAATGTATTGGAATTTAAAGAAGTTACAACAGAAATCTTTTGAAGGGGCGAACAAACCGGGAAAATACTTAGCTTGGCAACTTAAGGCTAGAAGAGAGAGAAGAATGATAACCAAAATAATAGAAGATGGAAAAGAGTTCGTTGATCCTAATGGAATAAAGAGATGTTTCTTCAAGTATTATGCTAAACTATTCCAAACAACTAGAGTTGATCTTGAGAAGATTAAAACATATTTAAAGGAGATTCCACTACCAAAAATAAGTAAGGAATACAAAGATTTATTAAATGGTCCAATTCAAAAAGAAGAAGTGATGAAGGCAATAGAAGAGACAAAGTTGGGGAAGGCGCCTGGGCCGGACGGATTTACAGCGAAATTCTACAAAAAGATGAAAGAAGAAATTTCCCCGGTCCTGGAAGCTTTAACCAACGAAATAAGAGAAAACAAAAAGGTGCCGGACTCATGGAAAGAAGCAATTATTTCTTTGATTCCAAAGGAAGGACAAGATTCAACAAATGTAAAGAACTACAGGCCAATATCTCTTTTGAACAACGATTATAAAATCTTTGCAAAAATTATTGCAGAAAGGGTGAAAAACTATTTACAAACGGTAATTTCTGAAGATCAAGCGGGCTTTTTACCCAAAAGGCAGATTAGAGACAATGTAAGAATAGTAATGGACGCAATTGAATATTATGAAAAGCACCCAGAAAAAGAAGTAGCTTTTCTGTTTGTTGATGCAGAAAAAGCTTTTGACAATCTTAATTGGAATTTTATGCACCAGATGATGGAAAAGATTGAAGCGGGACAACATTTTAGAAATTGTATTGAAGCTATCTATTCTGAACAAAGAGCTAAAATAAATGTGAATAAAGAACTGACAGATAACTTCAAAGTACAGAAAGGAACAAGGCAAGGTTGTCCGTTATCACCGTTATTATTTATCTGGGTATTGGAAATACTTTTACAAAAAATACAGTACGATCAAGAAATAAAGGGCTTGACACATAAAGGACACCAATACAAATATCGAGCATTTGCAGACGATGTAATGTTTATGGTGGAAAACCCAACAGAAAAATTGACATTGCTTTTTCAAAAAATAAAGGAGTTTGGAGAATTGGCCGGCTTTTACGTAAATAAGAATAAAACAAAACTTATATGTAAAAACATGATCAAACAAAAACAAGTGGAACTACAAGAACTGGTACAATGTGAAGTAGTTAAAAAAACAAAATACCTTGGAATTGAATTAACGGCAAAAAATATAGACCTATATAAGAATAATTATGAGAAATTATGGACTAAGCTGACTCAAGATTTTAAGAAATGGGATAAAATGAACTTATCACTGATGGGAAGAATATCAGTTATAAAAATGAATGTCCTACCACGTTTGATGTTCCTGTTCCAAACAATACCAATTCTGCATAAAACGGATTTGTTGGCCAAGTGGCAACAAGAGTTGTCAAAATTTGTTTGGGCAGGCAAGAAACCAAGGATCAAAATGAAAATACTTTGTGATGCCAAAGAAAGAGGAGGTCTACAAATGCCAAATCTTAGACTATATTATGAAGCGGTTTGTCTAACATGGATGGATCAATGGGTGAAGCTTGAAAATGACAGATTGTTGGGGTTGGAAGGGCATGATTGTAGATTTGGCTGGCATGCATATTTATGGTATGACAAGATAAAAATGGACAGTTTTTTTAAACTTCACTTGGTGAGAAAAGCTTTGTATATGGTATGGACAAGATATAAGAAGTACCAGAGTGACTTAAGACCATTGTGGATTGTACCAGTAGAAGTGTTGATATCTTACTCAAGACAGCGAGGTAGAGACTGGTTGCCATATAGAGATTTAATTAAAAAAGAGGGAACAGAGTGGGTAATGAAAAAGCAGAATGAAATTGAATATGAATATGAGTGGTTGAAATATATGCAGATTTATGATCTTTTTAGATCTGACAAAAAAAACTATGGTTTTAGAGAGGAAAAAAATGAAATTGAAAAGGTATGGGAGAGTGGAGGAGGAAAAAATATTTCTAAAATGTATAAGGTGTTGTTAAAATGGTATACTGAAGATGAAACTGTTAAAGAACAAATGTTAAAATGGGCTATTAATATGAATAAGGAAGTAGATATGGAAACTTGGGAATATTTGTGGAAAAACTCTATTAAGATCTCGACATGTACTAATGTTAAAGAAAATTGTTATAAGATGATGTATAGGTGGTACATGACACCTAAGAAGATTGCAAATATGAATCAAAATATGTCAAACAAATGCTGGAAATGTAAGAGGCATGAGGGCTCATTTTATCATATGTGGTGGACTTGTGAGAAAGCTGTAGACTTTTGGACAAAAGTCCACAATGAAATGCAAAAAATACTGAAATGTTCTTTTAAAAAAGCACCGGAAATTCTGCTTTTGGGACTCAAAATGGAAGAAGTCAATACGACTAAAAAAACTTTACTCTGGTACCTGATAGTGACAGCGAGAATGATTTATGCTCAGTTTTGGAAGACAGAAAAGGTACCAGAGGTTGAAGAATGGATACAAAAAGTTCTGTTCATGGCACAAATGGATAAGATTACAAAAAAACTGAATAACAAAGAAGACGATGAGTTTTTTGGAGAATGGAATGATTTTAAAATTTATCTGGAAAAGAACTGGGATGTGAAACAAAACTTAATATGTTTAGATCAATATTAAGTCAAATGATGTTATCTTTAGATTGTAATGATGAGAAACTGATATTGTTGATGATATGAAGTAATTTGGAGCAGGGGTGGAAGCATTGTGGGAAGCCATTGGAGGGAGGGGAGGAACTGGGAATGGGGTAGACAATTGATAGAATGAAAAGTTTTATATGTTGTATTCCTGAGAAAATAAAAAATTTGTTTACCAAAAAAAAAAAAATTCTGCACATCTGGATAATGATTCTTTGGACTGTATAACTCAGCAATGGCGAACAATGGAGGTAACTTCTGAACTCCCTCTAAGCTATGGAGTCTTGTGAGCAAAAATCCTAGTTTGTGAGCAGCTGGCATTAAAGTTGTGAGTGAGCAATTTGGCCACTGCTTAAATTAGTTTGCTCTGGAGCCATCCTTCCTGAGCTAAGAAAAAATGTGTGAGCCAGAGGCTAAAAAACTGTGAGCTAGCTCACACTAACTCAGCTTAGAGGGAACACTGCTCCTGAAACAATTTTGACTAGCTTTTGATAGCCTTATTAAACAGTATTTTTGAGCTGTATGAAACAGAAGATTCCACACTTTAATGTTACGGCTCCCTTTTGGATTTTGTACGTAATGTGTGGGCAGTACTGTGTCTGAAAGAGCTGTGCTTCCCATCTGCAAGGCCCTTCCTGCTGGATGGGTCTTGCGGATGGGAAGCAGATGAACTCAGACTAGGGTTGCCAGACCCCCAGTTGGGGTGGGGGTCCCCCCGATTTCTGGGGCTCCTCCACTGGCCAGCTGGCCAGTGGGGAAGCCCCACCCCCAAACAGCTCCCTCCTGTGTCAACATAGTTGGCGCAATGACATCACCCAGAAGTGATGTCATCACACCGGGCACATCGCACGTTGACACTATAGCATTTTGGCTGAAACCCTAAGGTTACCATAGAGTTTTTGGCCAAAATGCTAGAGTGTTGATGTGCAATGTGCCCAACGTGATGACATCATTTCCAGGAGATGTCTTCCCACGAATGCAAGAAGATCCCAGGACGGACCCGGGAGCCCTTCGCTAAAAGCCAAGTTAGACCCGGCAACCATAGCTTAAACACAGCATTCCTG